GCATTGTTGCATACAACAATGCTTTCAATGTTTCTAAATGTTTTTTCTGCGCACTCCAAAACGAGCCGTGAAAATCTGAATTTTGTCCGATTTACCAAAAGAAGATGATTCTTTACATAGCCGTAGCATCTAAATTAAGTCAGAATTAAAATCCACTGAAACCCTTTGAAAGAGTAAGCATTATTGTATGCAACTAAATAGGAAAAATATTAAAAATTGACGAAGAAAAAGAGATCTAGGGATGCAGTTTGGCTTTTGTTGATTTATATTAAATAATAGGTGCGATTTGAAAATCTCTGTGATTATGATGTGTCTGACATAATCATATCTAAGATTTAGAATAATACTTTTATTTTAATTTAAATTGATTTCTTTCTTTTTTCTCTAAATCTATGCTAAAACCTTAAAGAAAAATAATATGAGACACTATCTCATATTAGCAACCCTCAGTATCTCATAATTGGAGACCATTTGCCTGAGACGTAATTTCTGATCTTTTTAATATTTTTTTTATATTCATAAAATACCCTATCGAATATTGCAATTTTCATAGTTGCTAGTGCAATAATTTATGTTTTATGACCAAAAATATCTCATATTTCCTACAAAAGGAGTAATACAAGGATGTTTGCTCCGGATGACATCATTAATCAATCTGTTTTTCGCAAGCTGAGAGGAAGAAATGCAAAAAGAAAATATCCGATAAATTTTCACTCATTATTTTGAGATCTTTTTTTTTCGATTTATTCTACCTATATTTTATTAGGTATAGCGCAGTACCTACATTAAATTGCCAACATATTTGTAAAGACAATTAAAAAACTTCGAAATGATGTGCCACCTGACCCCTCGTTCCATTTAAGATCCTTGAAACGGTTGCAACCCTCTTTACAGGGATGACCTTACATGCAGGGCCTGATTAACCCTTAGGCTAATTAGGCTGCAGCCTAGGGCGCGAGGATCCGGGGGGCGCTAAAATCGTGTCTTTGCATGCACTAATCACAATCAATTTTCTAATTTGATACCCCCCCCCCTCACATCATCACCACTAACTTTATCTTCATAAAAAGCAATATTTTGAAAATACAATTTTGTGTTTTTTATAATTCTTTCGGGGTGATTTCAATTTTTCTGTTAGAATATTTTCATAAAACCACTGTTAGTCTACAAGGGGTGCTCGTAATATGTTTTTTTTAAAGGAACACACTGTAGGTATATATTCAAATGTAAAACATTAAAATAGTTCTATGTTCAAATAATTAATAATTATAACATGACTTTCTTAAGTGGAAATAAGGGTTTTCGCACCCTTTCATCTGTGGAAAGCATTTTCAACCTTCTCATTTTCTTTTACCCCTTTTCCTTTTTCAGTACCCCTTAGTACTGAAACAGGAAAATATTTTTACCTTTAAACCATTATTTTCACGAATAAATATGCAATTAGGTGAGTACCTATATATGTATCACTCGTAAATAATATTTTTCCATCCCTGTGAATCTTAACAATAATCGGTCTTTATATATAATAATATCCATTTGATAAGTGAGTTACTTGAGCTGAAAGTTTTTTTTTTGAAGTCTCAATTTTGTTTTCCATTACTGTTAAAGCAAATACTAAGTTAACTAAACTCAATTCTTCTAAAATTATTTGTAATAAAATATCTTTTAATACAGAAAAACATTGTTCTACAATAAATTGACTATTTTGGTAAGAGTACATTCATAGGTATGCATGTACCTAACCTACTAAGTTTTTCAATTTTAGTTAATTTAAATTATGTATTACACTTACCATTGTTTAAATACAAAACTGCCAACTGAAACGCTTGAATGTTCAACATTTTCAACCATTATATTTGCCGAATATTAAATATTTGAACATAACAGAATGACAACTAACACAAATCACACTTAATCGCACGCGTTGTTTTATTCGCGGATTGAACCGTTTGAGAATTACTGTAATACTGGAAAATGTAAATGGCACCGATTCGGTCCGTGCGGCCTCGGTAAATATCGTATGGCACGAACATAAAGAATGACAAATACCTGCGTACAATAATAAATCATCACTGTAGCTGATAACGTACATCTGTGGTGGGGGAGACCTCCTCTTTCGACCCCCCACCCCCACCCCCTTCGGGGGCGGCCATCATCTAGACCTTTACCCAGGAATTACATACTTCTTTGTCGCAATTTTTGGTACGTAAAACCAAAAGTCTCGGGTTCGATTCTCGACGAGAGTGCGACAATAGCAACAATTTTTCCTCATTAACCTAGGATAATTTACATATAATGCATAACAATTGAAAATGAATTTTCACAGTAATACTACTGAAGATATTTGTACGAATTTTCCCGCATGTAGCTCTTTGATGATACCGTTATAAAAAACTTAAATATGGTATGAATACTTCACAATATAAAATAAATCACTATTTTTTCTGTTTTATTACTGCATTCACTTACGTCCTACATTATATTATACACAATAGCTTGATTATTTGATTAATACAATCTCAATAAATAATAATTTTATCTAAATTTCGTAAGATACTACTCATATATAAAAGCTACATAGTAAACACAATAACTAGATTAATTATTTCAACTGTAACATACACATATGGTCAACTACTTCTTAGTGTACGATAGGTCAATTATTTTCAAATTTTAACTTAACATTATAAATTTATGCAGGTACATAATATTTAAATAAATTTCACTTTTACGATTAGATATTTTCCTACTATTGGAAAAAAAATTATTACTAGGTAGCTCTTACGTACCGTTCTGTCAATTTAAATTTAATATCTTCTTTTTTCGTATTTACAATGGCCAATAAATTTTTTCAACTTCCTCCAACTTGCATTGTGTACAATTTTTCATAAAGTCCCCGCATTTTCATAAGTTGCGAATGTGAACCTTGCTCGACAACGACGCCATTATTGATAACGCAAATTAAATCGGCATCTTTTATTGTTGTAAGCCTGTGCGCTATACTTATACACGTTCGGCCTTCCCTTGCATCGTCCAATGCCTTTTGAACAATCTGGAAACAAAAGGTAAAAGGGATAGATTTTTGCCATTATCCTTCAGAACATTTAGAACAGATTTGATTTGAACTGGGTTTGGTTTCAGGGACGTTGACAGTTACCGTCACATGTTCTAACTTCCGCCCCATGCTGCGCGCTCAGCTTCCGTTGCATGTTGCGCGCGCAACTTTCAGGCGTGGCTAAATTTTACTGTTAACTTCAAAAATCGTATCTAAACGACATTTTTATTATTAACAAATTAAATGCCATTTGGTGGTCTCAAACAGCCGAAAGAATTCGTGAAGAAGTTTATATTTTTGATTAAAAAAAAAGTATTAGCAAAAGTCCTTAGACCTACCTACTCCACAGTAGTATTTGGCTACTATTTTATTTTGTTTAATAATTTGATAGGCACTCACCTTTTCGCTTTCGTTATCTAAAGCCGAAGTGGCTTCGTCTAATAATAAAACTTTCGGATTACGAATTAATGCTCTAGCGATGGCTACACGTTGTTTTTGACCTCCCGACAACTGGGTACCCTTTTCACCCAATCTAGTGTCGTAACCCTAAAAAGCGACAAAAAAAATATAAAATTAAGGTAAACTCCACAATTTCACTCGAGAAATTACTATTCTTGGTATGTTTATTGGTTACGCACTTACCAGTGGTAATGAGGCAATGAAGCTATGAATATTAGCCTTTTTAGCTGCTTCAATGATTTCGTCAGTTGTAACTATCCTGTCATTGTCTCCATAGGCAATATTTTCACCAATCGTCCTGTCGAATAAATTCGGTTCTTGTGACACAATACCAAGTTGCGACCTTAACGTCCTAAGTTGCATTGTTCTAATGTCTGTACCATCAACGTTAACGGTTCCATTCGCTGGGTCGTAGAATCTTTCCAGCAGTTGAATAATTGTGGACTTTCCGCATCCACTGGGACCTACCAGAGCCACTGTTTTACCATTCATAATTGACAAGTCCAATCCTTTTAAGACCTTAATGTCTGGCCTCGTGGGATAACGGAATTCTATTTTGGAATAATTAATATTTCCTGTGTCCTGTAATAAATAAGGAATCCTTAATAAAAAAAGCAAGTGAGACACTCCTTATGGATTTTGGAACGTTCAGGTTTCCTGTTTCATACCAAAAAAAAAAAACGGAAGTCCATCCTGTTTATACAAAACAGGAGACATGCAACCACCTTCCCCCTTTCTCTTAGATAAACATCTTTGTATTTTTATTTAAAATAAATTATACGTTTTAACCAATCGTTAATGAGACGTCAAAATATATATAATATATATATAGGATATTTCAAACTCTCATCTCTTTTCTTAAAGTTATTTGAACATTCCTTTCTTTCTTTAAAGAATTGATAGTGTTTTAGTGACTTACCCAAGTATCTGCTGAAGCATTTTGGGCATCTCTTACAGCTGGTTGTCTATTCAGAAGCTCAAATATTTGTGCAGCTGCTTTAAAACCTTTTTGGAAATTTGGTGTAAACGCCAAGGCATTTGCTATTGAAACTGTCCCCATTATTAAGGCCTGGGATACTCTAAAGTAAAAAGTTTGTTTATTTTCTAATGTGAAGACTACATGAAGTTTTTTGCTAGATTTCTGTATTTTTTTAAGGAAATACAGAATAAGTATTATCACAACTTTTGCTAATGTAGTTCACTCGTTAATACATATAATAATTTTTCAAGACAACGACACAGAAAAACTCTACTCCAAGTGATTTACCTACTGCCGAAGCGTACGTTAAATATTTAATTATATATTATCAGCGATGAACAAAGTAGTTATTTAATTGTTATCGAAAGATTAATGCGTCTAGCAGCGTAATAGTAAGCTATTGATATCTATACTTTATAAGTCGTTCCGCAACCGTCATTGTTTACATTTTCCATCGATGCAACTTACTACTTATTTCGAAAACACCCTGTATAAATTTGATGCTTTATAAAGTGTAAAGATCCAGATTATTAGAAACACTATGTATCTTCTTCAAAGACGTAATAACATATCCTTTGATTATATTTATAATCAAAACAGATAATATCATTTTGAAAGGGCCAAGATGTGAGATTTGAGGAGTTTTTGCACGAAATATTGTACTAAACGGATATATGTAGTTATCGCCTGATTACATTGTTAATCACGATTGTTTAATCAACTAATAATTTGATTAACGATGCGGTAAAAGGCGATTACACTTGTCGGTTAATTGCATTCCATAAATAATGGGTAACGACAAGGAAGGATCTTATCGTGTTTTTCTCAACCTTGAAGTCTTTTTATAAAATTACGTTAAAGTTTAAACTGTAGGCTTTGTTTACTAGCACGGAAAATATTGGCAAAACAGTATTGTATGAAAATAAATAAATGTAAAACAAAAATACTGGTATTCAAGAGAAGAAAAAGTAGAGATAAAGCGAATGTAAAGATAGGAGAGGAAAACAAGAAGAAGTAGCTTATTTTAGGTATCTAGTAAGTCAGATCAGTCAGGACGGAAGATTTAGTAAGCATAGTAACGCAGGAGATAGTGCAGGGTCAAGTTGCCTTCAATAAAAAGAAGTCATTTCTATGCTTGTGAACGATTAATTTAGAAACTCGAAAAAGATTGTTAAAGGTGTATGTTTGGAGCGCGGCGCTGTAAGGGTGCGAAACATGGACGGTGGACGCGGCGGAAAATAAAAAGTTGGAAACGTTCGAAATGTGGTGTAGCAGGCGAATGATGAGAATACCGTGGATAGAGAAGGTTAGAAATGAAGAGGTATTAGAAAGAATAGAAGAACAGACGACTCTATAGAAGTCAATAAAAAATAGGCGAAATAAGTTGGTAGGACACCTTCTCAGGCATGAAGGTCTAGTCAGAGATATATTAGAGGCTGAAACGGGAGTCAGGAGGGGTAGAGTTAGACCTACATTAATTATTGTTCGTACATAGTTAAGGATGTGGGATGTTCCAGTTTTAGTGAAATGCGAAGATTAGCTCAGGATAGGAAAGAGTGGAGGTACGTGTCCAACCAGTCTTAGGACTGACAAACTTATAATGATGATGATGGAAATTATTAATGTTGAAAAGAAAACCAAAAGTATTTAGAACAAATAAAATAGCTCAAAACCCCAACGCCAAAACACGACACTGTAGTTGTCCAAAGCACTTTTCGGTAACAAGGTTACCTTCTTCAGGGACTGAAAGTTTACTGAAGTGAAAAAGTGGTTCGGACAATTATAGTGTCGTGTTTTGGAGTTGGGGTTTTGAGCTATTTTGTTTGTTCTACAATAACCGCCAAAGTTTTACCAATCTTCATGTTTCCTAAAGTATTTGATGATTAATCTTATTTCTTACTGCACATTGTAACAGAAGTTTGCAAGCATTGTTCTCTTAGTGGAAAAAAAGACAATTAACTTTTAGAGCTACTAGTTCATGGTAAAAAATTTGGTAGTAACCAACCACATAATTGAGGGTACAACTACGTAATTAGAAGTACTTACTTGAGAACTGTTTCGTACTGCAGTCCTTCATTGTATACCAAAGTACCTCCATAATACATACAACATGCGAATGCAAAGAACATTATACTTCTAGCTAATGCCATTACTAAGGCTCTTATGTGAATATTTCTCAAAGATTTCTTGTGATATGGTAACAGTTCGGACACATAGAGTTGGTAAAATAATTTTTCTGCACTTAGCGAGGCAACTGTTCTTATATTACTTACTGCTTCTACTGCAATCTACAATAAGAAGTACACAATACAATAGGTATACGATTACTTGCTGTTCCCTTGTTAGAAAATAATATTTTAGCTTCTTGATGGTCAGATTAATTTTATTTTTGTTGCTTATACATTGAAAAACAAAGGTAGGTATATTTAGTATTTAATTTAGGCAAAACTTTTGAAGAATTCAGCATATAATAATCTATTTTAGATAAAAAAGACAAGAGATCTATTTATTGACTGTTTTATATCGTTGAATTTCAAATAAAACCTCAAGCCATATAGAAACTTACCTTTGCTGCAGCTTCTTTTGAGCTACCTTCTTCTAGGTTTTCAACATGATTCATGCGGGCATGGAAAAACATCGCTAGTAGGATAATAGGGCTAAAAGTAAGAGCGACTAATCCTAATTTCCATTGGTAGTACATTGACAACCCAATAGCTAACCCAATTGTTGCAATAGATTGCAAAATCGTTCCAATTCTCTGACCAGTCGCCTAAAGAAACATTCCTTGTCAAAATTTATTTTAATTATATATATATAATATTGTCTAAAACTATGGTAATATCAGAAGAATTTCGAAAAATATAATGAAGTATCAGAAAAGTCGTAAAGGAATATCGGGGACGGACTAGTTTGACACCTATTTTGTGTATATCTCTGATAATATCAGAAGAAGGTCAAAAAATATAATGAAGTATCAGGAATATTAAAATGGAATATCGGGGCTGGATTAGTTTCATATTTTGTCTATATCTTTATTAATATCAGAAGAACATCGAAGAATATAATGAAGTATCAGGAATATCATAATGGAAAATCGGGGCTGGATTAGTTTCATATGTTGTCTATATCTTGGTAATATAAGAAGGTCAACGAAATGAAGTATCATGAATTTCATAAGGGAATATCGGGTCTAGATTGGTTTGATATTTTGTCTATATCTGGTAATATCAGAAGAAGGTCAAAGGAAATAGTGAAGTATCACGAATAACATAAAGGAATATCGGGGCTGTATTAGTTTCATATTTTGTCTATATCTTTAGTAATATCAGAAGAACGTAGAAGAATATAAAGAAGTATCAGGAATATCATAAAGGAATATCGGGGCTATATTAGTTTCATATGTTGTCTATATCTTTGGTAATATAAGAAGGTCAACGAAATGAAGTATCATGAATTTCATAAGGAAATATCGGGGCTAGATTGGTTTGATATTTTGTCTATATCTGGTAATATCAGAAGAAGGTCAAAGGAAATAGCGAAGTATCACGAATAACATAAAGGAATATCGGGGCTGTATTAGTTTCATATGTTGTCTATATCTTTGGTAATATAAGAAGGTCAACGAAATGAAGTATCAGGAATACCATATTGGACTATATGGGTTCGCTAAGTTTGAAATTTTGTCTATATCTCTGGTTATATCAGAAGGTCGAAGAATATAATGAAGTATCATGAATTTCATAAAGAAATATCGGGGCTGTATTAGTTTAAATCTGTTTTGCCGTAACAAGGCTAAAGTAAGACGGAACTGTTTTTGACTGATCGGATGAAGTATAACTTAGATCAAATCAAATAAGTAATACGTGAAGATCCCAATTGGTAAAATTCTTTATTATGAGTTTCCTCATTTCATTCCTATCCGGACCTTTTTTATTTGGGCTAGTCGAGAAGATGATCACGAAATTCAACAAAATGACATATTATCGGTATTATCCTACACTGTTTGGAATAGTTACTTACCCCTTGAACACTGGATGCTTCACTTGAAAGACGAGCACACAAATTTCCAACCCCATTCTTCTTATCGTCAAACCAACCAATTTCTTGCCGCATCATTGCCCCAAACAGTTCTTTTCTCAATCTCTCTACTAATTTTTCTCCTGCAATGCTGAACATCGAAATCTGAAACATTAACAATAAGCTGTTAGGTATATTAAATAGTTTATAATAAATTGATTCTTTATCAAACATTACCTGTAAGAATGTGCTCACTCCCGTCACTATACCAGTTACTACGAAGTAAAGGCTGTACGTATTCGTTTGTGAACGAACGTAATCCTCATCAGTGTTGGACAGAACCTAAAGCAAATAAAATTAAATGACAAAAATGATTTGATATTTCTTTTCTATATTGCATGTATTTCATAGATAAATCATTAGTGCTTTGAAAACGTAAAAATTTCCCCACTTTACTCACCCCAAGGATATCACCGAACAATATGGCGAAAATAGGCATAGCAAATCCTACAAATGTCGATGCCAAACAGCCGATAACGATCTGCCACCATTCTGGTGCATTAAATTGTATTATAGACCACAACGATGAAGTACTTGGCTTCATTTCGAATTCGTTATCGTCGTAGATAATCTAGACAGAAAGAAGAAAAAATGTGTAATCTGTTATCAAAATTGTAAAAATCTTGAACCAAGTCAATGAAAACATAGTTATAACAACGGAAGCTACCACTACTTACTTTATCATCATCTTCATCTGGTTCTGACGACATCACGGAACTTTGCTGCCTGAAAGCAACTCCGTTCCGCTTCGATGATTCTAAAATTTATAGGCACCATTATATCTACAGTTTTCAAATCAAAAATTCTGACACTTACGTAGATCTTCAAGTTCAGGACCTGACACTTGGGTCATAACAAGATTGTAATAATGCCCCTTTTTCTCCATTAGCTCTGAATGGTTCCCTTCTTCCACGACTACTCCATTGGAGAAAACAAAAATTTTATTTGCATTCCTTATCGTAGATAAACGGTGAGCGACTACGATCGTTGTACAGGATTTGCTAGCCTACAAAACAGAGCAAAACGTAACGATTAATATTCGAATTATTTTGATGAAATTTGAAACGCACAGCATCCAAAGCAGCTTGCACTTTTGCTTCGCTGTTAGTGTCCAAGGCCGATGTGGCTTCATCAAGTAGGAGTACGGAAGGCTCTCTTACTAAAGCTCGCGCTATAGCAATACGCTGTTTCTGGCCACCGGATAATTGAGCTCCCCTTTCACCAACAAGAGTGTCGTAACCTTGGGGTAGTTTTTTGATAAAGCCATGTGCGTTTGCCTTTCTTGCAGCCCTTTCAATGTCCTCTTGGGTGGCAGATTTATTTCCATATTTTATGTTTTCACCAATCGTTGTACCAAAAAGAACCGGTTCTTGACCGACAACTCCAAAGTTGTTTCGAAGCGAAGTTAAGTTTATGTTCTTCAAGTTTTCTCCGTCTAGCAATATCTAGAACATGTTTTTGATTAATGGGTTACAGTCTGTCTTACTGTGACTGTATCTACCTCTCCTTCTGACGGATCGTAAAATCTTTGGATCATTTGTATACATGTGGATTTACCACATCCTGAGCTTCCAACAAATGCGACAGTTTGACCGGGTTCAACTTCCAAATTGACTCCTTGTAGGATCTATAAGGAAGAAATGAAAATTAAAACTATGGAATGTTAGTGATGCATGAAATTGCACTTACTTTCACGTTTGATCTTGAAGGATAATTGAATTTGACGTTTTTGAATGTAATTTTTCCCTTTACATGATTCAGTTCTTTACCTCTGGATTTTGATTGGTTAATAACCGGCTCGTTATCTATGACGTAAAACAGTTTTGCTGCAGACCCTCTGGATATGCCAAAAGCTTCGATATAAGGAGATGCCATTCCAAAGTTCATACTTCCTTGCATCACACTGAAGAATACCTAAACAATAACAATACCTATTTTCTTGTGGCATTTTCATTATATCTTCTATACTTCCCGTTATGGGTACTTGGGCAAAAATAAAAAACATTAGGAATTTAGGATGTGGGTTGTTCTAGTTTTAGGGAAATGCGAAGATTAGCTCAAGAAAGAGTGGAGGTGCGTGTCCAACCAGTCTTAGGACTGACGATCTTATGATGATGATGAGGATTTGGACAAAAATATTTAACTTTTGTCATGATTTTATGTGATTTCTTCAAGTAGATGCAAGCAATGACTTACTGTAACCATAGTGGCAACATCATAAGTTCCATTTCCGCTTAGTACGAGTCGGACACCATACCAGAAGGCAAGAGCGTAGCTGGCATAGATGAAAAACCATAACAAGCCAAAACCCATTCCGGATAATGTTGACCTTCGAATGTTATTCTTTCGTGCAAATATTAGTTGTTCTTCGTACCTTGCAAGTTCTTTTTTTTGTCCTCCGAATGCAATAACTGTTCGAATGGTGCTCAAAACTTCTTCGGCTATCGCTCCTGCCATTGCATAAGCATCCAGTTCTTTTTTAGCGACCTTTGATGTCACCTGAAACATAATCTCTTTCAGAATTTATCCTTAAACAAATTATCTAGTATCTATAATCTCATAGAATGTTATACTTACAACAGCAATTATTCCAATGCACACCATAGTAACGGGTAAGGATGTAAGGCAGATAAGGGCCAATTCCCATCCCTTAACAAGGGCTAAAATTACACACCCTAAGAATGTGAACATCATATGTGTAAAGTGTGCTACCTTTTCTCCTATACCATCTTCAAATTTATTCAAATCTCTGAAATAAAGAGAAAGCATTTGTACCATTTGACTCTAAACAGAAATTTTGTTACCGAAGTTTAAATGTCAAAGGAACAAAAAGTTACTAAATTGAAAACACGTTACAACTACAGATTATACTTAATTTGGAGAGATAGATGAAGTTAAATGGAGATCTGGAGTCTTAGAGAATAAATGAGAATTAAACAAATGAATATGAAATATTATTCTGAAAATTCATTTTTTAATTTTTACCCACTACACACTACCTCAAATTAATGAAGGAAAATTGTTGCTGTTGTCACACCCCCGCCGGGAATCGAACCCGCGACCTTTGGCTTTACGCACCAATGCTCTGACGAGAGATGATCCCGGGTTCGATTCCCGGCGGGGGTGTGACAACAGCAACAATTTTTCCCTCATTAATTTGAGGTGGTGTGTAGTGGGTAAAAATTCAGAAATGAATTTGCAGAATAATATTTCATATTAAACTAACTCGCTTCTAAAAGATGTTTAAATTGCATGTATGTTTAAACAAGTGAAGCTCTAATTGGTTATAATCAAAATTTGCTTACTCAGACATGCGGCTGGCGATGTCGCCTGTTTGATTAACGTCATACCATCCGATATCCTGATTCAGGACTTTTTCGAAAAACAAAGTTCGAATTTTGTAGCCCTAGAAAATAAATGAGTTGAGTAGAATGGAAAACAGTGTACCTAATTGAGAAAGCTATCAGAAAAATGTAGACTTTGAAAGTGAAGCAAAAGGAAGTCTATTCTTGCGATTTCAGTACTGTTTTTTGCACCTACCTGTCTGAGTGCACTGTAATTGAACAAAGCAATTGACAAGTAACTGGATACAAACATGACTGCACCAACTATAGTATTGTATATGGCAAAATTAATAACATTATCTAAGAATTGGTCAAAAACCGCCTGAGATGCGTTTCCTTGGTTTATAGCGTATCCAAATGTTGCCATATCTCCGGCTAAATTTCCAAAAAGTAGCATATTGAGAGGCTGACATACACCACTACCCATGCAACCCAAAACTCCAATAATAAGGACGATTTTGTCCAAACCGGTAGAGAACCTGTACTGTTAAATTGAAAGAAGTGTTAAATTAAAGGCTTTTTATTCTTGGTATACCAAAGACAATAAATTAACAAATTTAATGATTTGCTGTGAATATTGGAACTTCCAGACTAGTTTCAAATAGTGACATGTTTGTGTTTCATATAGGGACGTAAGGACAAATTATTATTTTATTTAAAAAAAAAATTGGCATGTCATTAAAAGATTGTTTTGCAACTTTCTGATAACACGGTGAATAACAGCTCAGTGGAAGGCTCAACGTTTAGATACGATCAGACCAGTAATAATCAGACAGCTTTATGGATTGGTTCTGATAAAAAGAATCAAGATAATCCGTTTTTATGGGTATATTTTTTTACTGTACGTATATCAAAATACGTTAGGTTATTTTTGGTTTCATGTTTATCACTCCCAAAACCAGTAATTGAATTGATACTTACCAATTGTGAGAAAGAAACTGGTGGTACATCGTCTTGTTTAACTCCTGTATCCACGAAATCACTGAAACTAAATAAAATATTGCCCATATAAGTTAAAAACACGTCATTTACGTAAAAAGTTATTCCTTTCTTATGAATTCAAAGAGACTTTACTGTAAAACTCCTTGAATAAGTTGACATATGAGTGTCGACATTATCAAACAAGACGCCCCCAATATAAACTAAAGGAGATTCGCCCTTGCTTACGTTCAAGTGTTTCGCCCGTTTTTAGTATGCTCATTATCAAGAGAAGCAGTCTCGCGATAAACTAAGAGAGACCCTTGTTTAAGGACATGTGCTTTGCCCATTTTGAGTTGAGGCATTATCAATCTAGAAAATCTCGCAATATAAATAGAAAAATTGATTTTTAAAAACGGATACGCGATTTGTTTAATTAGAGCGTGAGGTTATTAAGCGAGACAGCGACTCATTCTCGCAATAAGCTAAAAAAAAGATTGAACCTTATTCATAACTGGTAATATTTGAAAAACGAATACGTGTTTTGGCCACTTTGGGCCCATTATTATTAATTAGTAAAGCAGTCTCGCAATAAACTAAGAGATAATCGTCCTTGCTTACGGACACTTGTATTGTCCATTATAAGTAGGGGCCTTATCAAACCAGGTAGTCTCGCATTATAAATAGACTCACGCCTAATTTTCTAGTAATTTTTACAAATGGATACACGTTTCGCATACCTAGTGTCTGACCGTCATTAAGCGAGACGCTGACGCAGTTTCGCAATAAACTAACAGAGACTTGCCCTTGCTTACGGACACGTTTCGCTCACATTAAGTGTGTCCAATTTCAAGCGAACCAGTCTCGCAATAAACTAAGAGATACTCGTTCTTGCTTACGGGCCTTATCAAGTCAGGCAGTCTCGCATTATAAATAGAGACTCACGCCTAATTTTTGTAGTTATTTTTAAAAATGGATACACTTTTCGCATACTTAGTGTGTGACCGTTATAAAGCGCGACGCCGACGCAGTCTCGCCATAATCTAACTGAGACTCGCCCTTGCTTACAGACACGTTTCGCCCACATTAAATGTGTCCATTATCAAGCGAACCAGTCTCGCAATATACTAAAAGATACTCGTTCTTGCTTACGGACACTTGTACTGTCCATTATGAGTAGGGGCCTTATCAAGCCAGGCAGTCTCGCATTATAAATAGAGACTCACGCCTAATTTTCTAGTAATTTTTAAAAATGGATACACTTTTCGCATACTTATTGTGTGAGCGCTATTAAGCGAGACGTCGACGCAGTCTCGCAACAAACTAACAGAACTTCTCCCTTGCTTACGGACACGTGTTTCGTCCACTATCCATTATCAAGCCAAGTAGTCTCGCAATATAAATAAAGATAGGGTCACCCCTAACTATCACTAGTGAGTTTTTAAAAACGGATACGTGTTTCGCACACTCAGAATGTGAGTGTTATCAAGCGAGACGGTCTCGCAAACAACTAAGAGAGAATCACACTTGATTACTTGTTGAATTTATTGTATAACGGATACGTGTTGAGTGGGTCCTTTTTTTGGTTTATTTTTTTTTTTTTGGTAATGTCTCTTTAAGGAATAATGTTCTCAATACTTACGCCTCTAACAAGCTGTTCTTTTTATAGGTTGTCTGTTCGATTCCGTCATTTCCGTTCTTTTCGTTTTCTTTAATGATTTCCAATTTTTTCTTCATTGTTTTCTGAAACATTTGACGTAAACTATTGATAAAAAGCCATTTTAGAAAAAACGCTTTTTAATGCATTTTTTTATATATTATCGTTATTATTATTACTGTACATCGTTTACGATACTTATCTATTAGAAAAATATCAGTAAGTATGTATCAATTCACTTTTTAAAATACAAAAATACTTGTACAGCTGTCTCACTGCGTAGGTATGGTTTTTTTTATGTTATAGATAAAGGAATCAACAACAAAAGCGATAAGAGATAAATCTATGTTTTAGAAACACATATTGGAAGGTGTACAATCAGATATGTATTAAACTGTACAGTTTTTGTCAATCAGTATTCATGCATTGTCATAGTCATTACTCACTGAATTGTTTCTAGATAAATGACTATGTTTTTTCCTGTAGTCCATAGATAAAACTTATACATGAAACTGGAAAAACATACTGAATTAAAGTAATATGTAAATAATGTATAATTACAAAGGATTGATTGGAATTATTAGGATAAATATCAAACAGGACAAATCTAAATTGATCTAATAAAATAAAATAGAGAAGAGACAGTGGGCCGACATCTTTATCAAGAAGAATGGTTTTTAAACTATTACGTAACGATATTTCAGAATTCCTACTTTCAAAATAGAATTATAGATATATGAAAAGGTAATTTCAAGGGGACTACAAATACACGAAGAGGAGGCTGACAGCTAATCTTCAATACGACTGAGTCGATACCGATGAGACTTAACTTGCATGAAGAAGAGGTTGTCGGGAATGATCTACGCTACTTATGCCTGTTGTCCGTTTGTCTGTTTGCATAGGCTATTTTCCGAAATGACAGAGCCAATTTAAAATAAAAAGAGAAAACTGACAGGAGTAATCAAGGCTACTTTCTGTTAGCCTGTGTGTCCGTTTGTAAGAGCTAATCTTCGATACTACTGAGTCAATATTGATGAGATTTAGGAAGAGTAATCAAAGCTATTCTTGGTAGGTTTGTACGAGCTAATCTTCGATACTACTGAGTCAATATCGATGAGATTTAGGAAGAGTAATCAAGGCTATTCTTGGTCGGTTTGTACGAGCTAATCTTCGATACTACTGAGTCAATATCGATGAGATTTAGGAAGAGTAATCAAGGCTATTCTTGGTCGGTTTGTACGAGCTAATCTTCGATACTACTGAGTCAATATCGATGAGATTTAGGAAGAGTAATCAAGGCTATTCTTGGTCGGTTTGTACGAGCTAATCTTCGATACTACTGAGTCAATATCGATGAGATTTAGGAAGAGTAATCAAGGCTATTCTTGGTCGGTTTGTACGAGCTAATCTTCGATACTACTGAGTCAATATCGATGAGATTTAGGAAGAGTAATCAAGGCTATTCTTGGTCGGTTTGTACGTCCGCTTGTACGAGCTAATCTTCAAAACAATTGAGCTGATTTAGATGAGCCATAACGTACACGAAGAGGAAGTTATAAAGGTTACCTTTCCCTGTTGTCCGTTAATCTGTTTGTATGGGCTAATCTTCAAAATGGCCGAACTGATTTCGATGGGACTCAAAATACACGAAGAGGAAGTTAATAATAGGGGTAATCGAGGTCACCTTTTATCTGTCTGTGCTTATCTTCGAAATAACTGGGCTGATTTAGATGATGCACCAATAGATGGTTGATGGGAGTAATCTAGGCTACCTATGTCTGTTGTCCGTTTGTTTGTATGGGCTAATCTTCGAAATGGTCGAACTGATTTTTCTATAGCAGTCATTACTAAAGCTGATCGATCATTTTTATCTGAACCAGTTTTTGAATAGTCATGGTCAATCTTCTGTATCTTAAACTAAATGACTCCAAAAATCTGTGTTGAATTTTCTCAGACTGCTAAGTAGAAACTAGCGACCGCATAAATAAAGCTGCCATATGGGATATTCGATTTAACGTCAATTAAAGGTATTTAAATTCGCGAATTCGATTGATGTGCGCAAAATGAAGGGTTGCTACTTTGATTTCTAAATTAAATTTAAAAAATGTACTTACAGCGTTATTTCAAAGGATTACAAATTATTTATAGATCCAGTTAGAAAACTATCACAGCAGGGAAAACGATCATCTACACGTCCTGACGAATTACGATCTCGCCAGCAACTACTACATCGTGCGTTTCAGAAAAATTATCATATATGAAATGATAATACAAGATAATCGTATTAACAGTGATAACGTGATAATATTGACTCGGATAGCTGCACACAATCTTTGACAATCATCTAGTATTTCTTTTAAAGGTGGCTTTTAATAAAAAAAATAAAAATTTCGGGTAACAGCAGACATGACAGTAGTGATAAAAAGATCATAATCATCATCTTCTTATTCTTCTTCAGTCCGAAGACTGTTTGGATACCCTGAGCCAATCTTCGCAATTCCCTAAAACCAGAACATACCACGTCCAAAATTATTTGTGAACAGTAAACTAATCTTAGCCTAACTCTGCCCCACTTCCAATATATCTCTAACTAACCCATATCGTCTCTTTCTTCATTATCGACTCCTCAGGTCTTCATTTTTAGCTTTTGCTATCCAGAGTATTTTCATCATCCGCATATATTTCCACATCTCAAACATTCAAATCGATTTCTTTTTATTAAATGCGTCTCGACCCAACGCTATCCTTTGCTTTATATTTCTATCGGTCCTTTTATCCTGAGTTATCTGATTTCCTAGACATTGACACTCAGCGACACCTTCTAATTTCTCGTCTCTTTTTTTTTATATTAGCTCATTACGTAACTATCGATTAATTTTAAACTCATGTACCCCTGCAAAGCAGAACTTATAGGTTGTCATAAGATGAGGCAAACCATTTTAATTAGCATATACGTAAATCTAAGGTGAAATAACTAAAATTTTATTTATTAAGTATTAATCAGCATTGTTTTTGATTAACCGAAACTATGAGTTGCAATTTATGAGTTTTGACGTTGCGTGAAGATGATCTATCAAATTCTTATTATCTTGTTGAAATCGTAATGTAGAATTTATTTGCTAATTCCGATATCAAAGGTAAACAGCTAATAAAAGTATTTTTTTCAGACATATTGGTACTTATTTCAAGTTACAATACGAAGTAGAAATTCGCAAAGAAGTTTTAATAATATACAGTATCAAAAAAGGATCTTCCACACCGATAGAAAAATTGCGCTGTCACATCCTATGCGATTTACAGAATGGTATACCGAGTGTTCACACGAATATACGCGGAATCCTTACAACAGTCCCTAAAAAAAACAAAAATTTTGGTATGTAGGGGAAGAAAAAGTAGGTAAAGAACAAATATAAAGATAGGAGACGAAAAATTAGAAAAAGTGGCTTATTTTAGGTACCTAGGAAGTCAGATAAGTAAGGACCCAAGGACTAGTAGGGATATAAAGCAAAGGATAGCGCAGGGTCGAGTCGCCTTCAATAAAAAGAAGTCAGTTCTATGCTCGCAAACGATAAATTTAGAAATTCGAAAATGATTGTTAAAGGTGTATGTTTGGAGTCCTGCACTGTACGGGTGCGAAACGTGGACAGTGGGCGCGGCGGAAAAGAAAATGTTGGAAGTGTTCGAAATGTGGTGTTACAGGCGAATGATGAGGATACCGTGGATAGAGAAGGTTAGAAATGAAGAGGTATTAGAAGGAATAGAAGAACAGTGGACTGTATGGAATAAACTAGGAGATATAGGTTGGTAGGACACCTTCTCAGGTATGAAGGTTTAGTCAGAGACATATTAAAGGCAGAAACGGGAGGTAAGAGGGGTATAGGTAGACCTAGATTAGATTACTGTTCGCAAATAGTTAAGGATGTGGGTTGTTCTAGTTTTTGGGAAATGAGAAGATTAGCTCAGGATAGGAAGAAATGGAGGTGCGAGGTACTAAAAAGAAAAGGAGAACAGAGGACTCTATGGAAGTCAATAAAACATAGGCGAGGTAGTTTGGTAGGAAGGTTGGGTTTCTCGAGTATAAAGGGCTGGTTAGAGGCATATTAGAAGCAGAAGCAGGAGTTAAAAGGAGTAGAAGTAGACGTAGATTAGATTGCTGTTCGCAAATAGTTAAGGATGTGGGATGTAGTTTTAGAGAAATCCAAAAATTATCCCAGGGTAAGAAAAAGTCGACGCGGAATTTTAATTTTTCTGCTGGCTCTAACCGAAAACCTTACTAAATTTATGACATTATCGTAGGTATATAATTTTTAGAATAGAAATTATGAAAGTGGAAAACAAATAGGGAAAAACGGTGAACTAAATATACATATATTTAGTTTCTTCATTTTCAGCATTTGATCATTACAACAATGTTTTTCTTCATTAAAGGAAATGGAAGTCATCGTTACAGCATACGTCACCGATTGCGAATGCTTCGACGTGGATGAATTTAGCGGCACCGACGATGCCATTTGCCTAGAATGGCAAAACGTTTGCAGTTAGGTACGGCGAAATTTTTTCTTGATTCATCGAGTATTGAGTTCCTTTTACATCTTTAGTCATGTTCCCCATAATATTTGATAAATACAACGATGAGTTTCAAAAGCTTTTCTTATTTTGTTCCTCAAGTAGTTCAAGAATAGAACTACTGACGATACGTCTATATTTTCAAGTAAACTCCAATGCCGAATCAACAATTCAAGAAAAGGCTTTTCGCTTTTCAAAATATTTAAAGAAATATTTATCTAAAATCTAAAACAAACAGTAATTCTATCTGGCCAATACTGTTTCTTCGATAAGAAATACACTTTGTTAATATCTATTTATAGTTTTATCAAATTTTTTTTGATTGTGTGGTAAATGCTTTTGTAATAAAAAATGTGCAATCCTAATTGATTTTTTGTCATTTAAATGAGTAAAATTTAAATAAAATACAAGTCTCATCCAGACTAAGATACTGAAGTATAACTTAACAAATTAACTTTTCTTTTATTTCTTTAATACTTAATGTGTGTGTGTGTCGAAATATGTTAGCAATAAGATAAGACAATTGAACCAATGTTTACTTAAAGTCCAAGATATTTAATTCTACTCTTATCAAAAGTTAATTAACCCCACTCTAACAAGTTAGTATAAACTACGCATTAGAATCTATTTATATGTATAATTCCTTTTTGTAATAGACAGACTAAGTTGCGAAAGGTCTGGTTTAAGCTCCAAGGTCTTCATACACCTTTCTGCTTTTTTTGAGGAGACCTTAATCATTTTTACTTCTAGTATATTATGCTTTATCATCATAAGGTCGTCAGTCTTAAGACTGGTTAGACACCCACCTCTACTTTTTCTTATCCTAGGCTAACTTTTAGATTTCTCTAAAACTAGAACATCCCACATCCTTAACTATTTATGATGAGTAATTTAATCTACGTCTAATTCTACTCCTGTCAAGTTCTGTATCTGGTCTAATATCTCTAATTATCCCTTCATGCCTAAGAAGGTATCCTACCAACTTATCTCTCCTATTGATTCCATTTCTAACCTTCTCCTTCCACAGTATCATCATCATTACTTTTATTTATTTTCATGCAGTACTGTTTTGTAATTTCGCTTCCATTTTATTTAAAGCTATCTCTCTCCTAACTCCTCCTTGCTAGTTGCTAATACTGCTATGTCATATGGAAATCTAAGCATACTAATCTTTTACCCCTGTCTGTAATGATGTTGATCGCATCTTCGATGTATAGATTAAATAATACCAGTGACAGTGTGCATCCTTGTCTTCTTAACCTAATCACGTTGCTGCTCAACCCTTGTTGCTCATACAAACTATGTATCAGTCTTCTATCTTTGAATCTCATGCTTACATTTTTAATGTTACTTTATTAAATAAACCCATTTTTGCACCTATGTTGTCTTTAATTTTGACGATATAGGTAGTCCTAAAGTAGGACGAAGAAATTGCAAATAAATAATTGTTTTAATTTCATTTAACGTATCAAACCAAATTGCAACTAACAAACGGTAGAAAACCTTGACGGATCACCTAATCAGTTGACGTTATCTTAATATCAGGAAATTTTTCATTGGAATGCAATTGAATTATTACTTTGTTTACTAGTATAATCCGTCTAAATTTGGAAGGATAGCACCTAATGATTCCTTCGGCGGGCATTTGGAATAAGTCCAACATGATAAAAGATTGGTGATTTTTCATTAAGAATTTTGTTTAAAGGACAACATCCTGGATATCGTAGGAAGCACAGTTAGTTCCAGAACGGCGGATCTCAGATTTCTGTAATTTCTGCTCGGTGTTCCTTGCTCGCTCATGCTAATCTACGACAGTAGTCCAGTTTTAAGTTGCCTTAAACGGTTTCGTGCCCAAATGGCCTTATCCGCTTTAAATAGTCTAAATCTATTATTACTACTATTACTATTGGTAACAGGTCTATTGAATGACACTTCTAAGTATTGGTTTGTAAGTAAGTATCGAATTAAAGTTGTAGCGGTATCCCCGCTGCAGATTTACCTTTCACCTTATTCCCAGAGCGTTTCAAGAATTCTTCAGTTGTCGGTAACGCTTGGCGATGAACACATTCGGATTGTTTTTAACAAGTCGAGCTTGTCCTTTCGTTTCGAATTCGTCGACGAACATCAGCGGGGAAGGAATTCAAAAGAACAAAAAAGAATACAACAACGAAGTATAGATTCCGGTCGCACAGGAACTTGTGTGTAGTGAATATTAAGTAAAGGACGTGTATATGTTGTTGAGGTGAAGTGGGACCGATAACAGGAGTTGAATTCTTTTGAGTAGAAAGCCGTGATCGTTCGTTTCGAGCCCTGCATGAAGGCGACGTGTCGTTTGTAGTAATCTAAAGGAGTGTCATTGTTTCCATTATTATTATTATTATTACGGTCGTGGTAACTACACAATAGGTACATGCACTAGAAGACAAGGAGGCATAATGTTGACGGTAAGTCATCACACTATGTATTGTACAATACCTCAATAGATAAAATAGTATCTATGTATATTACGCAACAAGGACATTTGCTCCTGATGAGTGTTAATTACTACCCGAATCGGAAGCTTTCAAATTTCTTTAGATGTCTCTAAAAAAAAATAAAACTACTGGTATGTAGGGGAAGAAAAAGTAGGAAAAGAGCGAATATAATGATAGGAGATGAAAAACTAGAAGACGTAGC